AAGTCCCTGCTTTTCCATATTAGAGAATGATATATTTACAACCATGAAAATATGCATATTGAAAATCGGAAACCAGGAAGATGCGTCTCAACGTTGATTAAATGCATGCAGCACCGTTCAATACTCTTGGTTTTCAGGATTTTTCAACGCGGTAAATATACCTTAAATATTTTACCTTTAATTAATGCTTAGAATTATTCAAATTCGGAATTTTCATCGCGTCTACTGCTGAAATACAGTCGACCATTAATAACTTCAAGTTGATTTCACTAAATTTCATTTAAGAAACGGGCGCCGTACCAAGAACTGGTTCGATTTGAGAGATGTAAATCAGGTTCTTTAATATAGTACATACACATCCTTGAATCAAATAGAAGAGTCCCACTCGTTTTTTTTTTGGTTAAAAATATAGTTATGCTTATTTATTTAAGTGTGTGTGTGTGTGTGTGTGTGTGTGTGTGTGTGTGTGTGTGTGTGTGTGTGTGTGTGTGTGTGTGTGACTGATAATACCGATTAGGTGATTTCATGTTGTCAGAGGTTTCGTCGTACTTTATTGATAAAACGTCAGACTCATGTCTGTATGAGCTTCTTCACTCAATCAAAAGGTCCCAGATGCTCTGTCCAGTACTGAAATTAGTACCAGAAAATAAAATTATTAGCTTTCTGGTGAGTTTAAACGCTCCGCTCTGTTTGATTCAGTGTTTGACTTAGCAAGAAAGGAACTCTGCATTAAAAAGTTGTCGCAAAAGTATGTCAGGTTATAATAGTTTATATACACCGATAAACAGTTTCAAAGTGTGCATACGTACACTTTAGAGTTACGCAAGAGTTGAATTGCAAGTAAAAGAAAAGAAAATAAAAAAATTCTAAAAATGGCATTAGCGTGTGCTGTAAAGCTTTAACTGTAGGAAGTCGTCATATATTTGATTAGTCAAATAAAAAAAAATAAATAATAAAAAATGTGTGTGCTTCCAGATGGCAGAATGTCCCTGTTTCTCATTGCCGACATCGACTTTTTCCCTAATGGTATTTATGAGTCCATTTAAGTTGTGTGCTCCCCTTATCTCGATTATGAAGGAACAGTGTTCAAATTTGAACTAATTTTGAATGGATGCGGTGGCTTGTATAGAAGAAATCGCAGAGGTGCTCTGAATGCAAGAAACCGCATTTCATTTATTGCATCATGCCATTTTTTTATTATTTTTTTTTTGAGAGGTAACAATTTGTGCGTTAATATTCACGATAGTGGATTGCCTTAGCCAATGAAGTCCAGTTACGTTCAAGTAGGACAATACAAATAATATCCTACCTCAATACAAATAATATCCTACCTCAACGTTATCATACACTTACTCAGCGTGAAAAAAAAAGAATATTCCGCCTTCGAAAAAAATATTTTTTCAACCTACATCGCCAGCAGTTTGCATTTCTAATATTTATTTCTGAAGCCGAAGCTTGATGTTTCCAATTCTATCTAGGTTATTTTTAACTGCCATTCTTTAATATCCTGTCTAAACCAGAGACAGAATGAATAATTAAACCCAAATCGATATCATCCAAAAGTTTATTTCTCACTAAATATTTTGAACCAAAATATTCTTTATCTTTTGTTTTATTAAAGGATCTTTTGTTTTAAAGGATTATAATGTCTGGCAAGCTAAAGCAAAGTGTACTTTATCAAAGACTGTAAACCTTTCATGGGTGTGATTTAAAACAAAGTTATCCACTTTTGGATGACATTCTGAAAGCCAGCGGGCCTCACTCAAGATTTCTCAAATACTCGAAATTAAAATCTTTACCAGGGGCAAACAAAAATTTTGAAACAAAGTCAAATTAAATTAGAAAGACAATTTATTTAATATCCCTGACATGTTTTTAAGAAATTCAGATCCGGAAGAGCTCCCAGTTTATATTACTACTTTATATTTAAAGTTATATAACAGAAAGAAGCGCAGCATGATGAGCAAAATCAACAATAAGCTTATTTTTGTAAAATATAAAGTGAAACTCTAAGCAAAAAGTACGGTATTGTTAATTAAATTACACATTAGTCTTAAATGATATATCACAAGTACAAAGCATAAAGTGTTTCGAATGAATTGCAATATTGAATTTGTGTTGACATGCCAACAGTTTTCATCTCTAACAAGAATATAATCCAGAATGTCTTTGAATGGATTCACACTAAGCCCAAAAATAGCGTTCTTCTTCTCAAAACAAATAAATGAGCACTTTGTAATTCCAATTAATATTTGATATAAATGGCTCCTTTCTGATCACAGCAGTAGATGATTCCACAGACTGAACTTAAAACGGAAATCAATAATTTTGTTTACACAACCTTTTATAATATATATATATATATATATATATATATATATATATATATATATATATATATATATATATATATATATATATATATATAATATGCAATAAAAAAGACAAGGATGTGTGTCACAAATTCTCTTCCAGCACATTCCAAGGTTGTAAATAAAGTTAGACATTAATTCAAAAATCTGTAAAGAACTTGTATACAAATATATCCAACAAAATAAGAGAATAGTCGGTTATGCTAAACCTATACCCTCTATTACCGACAAAGGTCAAGCACACAATACAAAATAAACATACACAAGTGTTTGCATACAAACAATACCCATATACCCACTATCACACTCCTTATTAGCTGCCTTGATTTGGAGTGCAATTTAATTCCCGCAAGCATATCGTCTTGAATATTCTGTCCTCTATAACGTCCTACCGTCCCTCCCCTCCTTTCAAAAATAAAAATTACCAGTCCGTTTACTGTTCTCATAATCCATATAATTTTAGCAGAGGAGTGAACGAAAAATTAAAGTAGACCGCCATTTTATTATTTTGCGACATTATAGGGGAAGGGAGAAAATACCATTAAATTACTATTGGTATGAGTTTGTAGCGACAATGGAGCACCGATGTTAAACAGGCTAATAAAAATATAGTGGCAACGTGAATTTAATGTTAGGCCGCAATTTTTAAATGTTTTGGAAGAAATGTATTATTTATTTATTTATTTATTTATTTATTTATTTATTTTGTTAGTTTTATTTTTTTTTTGCCAAATGATTAAAAAAAATTAAAGCAGGCTGCAATTTTGTTAATTATTTTGGAGCAATATGTCAAGGACAAATCAACATTAGGTTACTGTTTTTTATGAATTTATAGTGACGAGGATAAATCCTATGTTAGAGGTGTTCATTGTTTCTCTCTGTATAGATTCTATATGAAGCTCAAAAAGGGGAAATGTTAAAAAAATTTGGCAATCCCAAATTTTACAATTTTCAGTGGCAGGTTAACTATGGTTGATGTGTAAGCTAGGTCAAAACGACTTGTACGAATGATAGTAAACTTCAACAAATACTCTCTTTTAGTAAGTAAATCTTTGTCTTGATTATTGTATTCTATGGATAAATAAGCACACGTGCACTATTTAGATATTATGGTAAAAAGGATGTGTGTGTGCGCGCGCGCGTGTTTTGTTAGATGGTATTGATGGTCTGACGGGTAGTGTTACCCGTGTTTTTTTTATTTCAGATCTACCTCTTTACCTCAATGCTAACACACGACGTGAGTGAGTGAGTGAGTGAGTGAGTGAGTGAGTGAGTGAGAGAGAGAGAGAGAGAGAGAGAGAGAGAGAGAGAGAGAGAGAGAGAGAGAGAGAGAGAGAGAGAGAGAGAGAGAGAGAGAGAGAGAGAGTAAGTGGTATGCGGGTATTGGATGGCAAAGATGATATATGTTTAGTATTTTTGTTGGAATTTACCCCTTCTCTTAAACTCTAACACAAGACGCTTTGTATAATCTGGGTGGGTGGTGGGTGTGAATATTTTAGATTTCATCTCCTTCTCTTAGATTCTAAGCTAATACAAGACGTTTTGGATAATGTTTGTATGCGGTGATGGATGGTATATTTGCTGGATTTGATCTCCTTCTATTAAACTCTAAGATGACGCTAAACGTTTTCGCTGGAGGGAGTATTGGATAGTATAGGCGTCATGTGAGAATTTTTTAAAAAAAATTTAATAGCCTTCTCTCAATCTCTACGCTAACTCCAGAAGTTTTCGTTTGTGTGTGTACAGCTTGTTGGATGGTAAAAAAAAAGATTGTGCGATGGACAGTAGTTTTTCTTAATTTCATCCCCTTCTCTTAAACTCCAGGTCATCAATTGTTTTGGGGATAGTTTGTATATGGGGTGTTGGGTATTACAGATATTGTGATTGATAGTATTTCTGTAAGATTAACACAACACGTTTTGGAAAGTGTGCATATATTGGATGTTATAGATGGTGTGATGGTTAGTATTTTTGCTCCATTTGATTTCTTTCTCTTAAACTTTAAACTGACACAAAATGTTTTGGATAGTGAGTGTAGAGTGTATTGGATTATATAGGCGGTATGTGAGAGTAATTTTGATTGAATTCATCACCGTCATTCAAACCATACGCTTGCAAAAGACGTTTTCGATAGTGTGTGTACGGAGTGTTGGATAGTATAGATTGTGCGATTGATAGTATTTTTCTTAAATTTCATCCCCTTCTCTTCAATTCTAAGCCAACCAGGACGTTTCGGATAATTTGTATATGTGGGGTTGGGTAGTAAAGATGTTGCGATGGATAGTACTTTTGTTAGATTTCGTCTCCTTCTCTTAAACTCCAAGCTAACACAAGACGTTTTTTATTGGGTGGTGGTAGTGGTGGATAATATAGGTGTGATGAGATGTAATGTAATGTGATTATGATTTTTAACGTAGCTTTAACAATTTTTCAGTCATCGCAACGATGTCTGCAGTGTGGCAGTTTATAGTGATGTCTAGCACTGAAGCATCATTCCACAGACATGTAGCATGATGTCCCACCCAGTCACATTAAGCTGACACCGGGCCGACCAGTCCTAACACTAACCTCTTAATGCTGAGCGTAAAGAGAGGCAGCTGTTAGAATCAAATTTGTAAGTCTTTGGTATGATTCGACTGGGATCGAACCCACAACCTCCCGCATCCGAGGCAGACACTCTAACCACTACGCCACCGAAGCGGTTAAATAATATAGGTGTAATGTGAGAACATTTTTGTTAGATTCCTCTTAAACTCAAAGCTAACACAAAATGTTTTGGACAGTGTGTGTATGGAGTGCTGGATGGTATAGAGGGTGTGATGGATAGTATTTTTGTTAGATTTCATATCCTTCCCTTAAACTCTAAGCTAATTAAAAAAATGTTTTAGATAACGTGTATATTGTGTGTTGGATTGTATAGACGGTGTGATTGATAGTATTCACATCCTTCAATAAACACTAAGCTAGCATAATATAATTGATATGTGTGAGGGGTTTTTTTTTGTTAGATTTCAACTCCTTCTCCTGAACTTTAAGCCAACACGAGATGTTTTGGATAGTCTATGTCGGAGTGTTGGATGATAGAGATGGTGTGATGGATAGTATTTTTGTAGGATTTTATCTCTTTCTCTTAAACTCTAAATTACCACAAGACATTTTGGATAGTGTTTGTATAGGTGTTAGATAGTATATGTGGTATTTGAGAGCTTTTGTTGGCTTTCGTCACCTCTTAAACTCTAAGCTAACATAAGACGTTTTGGATTGTGTACTTGGATTGTTGGGTATCATGTTATGAGATTTCATTTCCTTTTCGAAATTCTGTGCTAAAAATGTGACTTTGAATACCATTAAACGTGTAAAAGGTAAAAAATGTCTTGTGTCGTCGATGTAAGTATAAAGACAAAGGTGCTACAAAATTTACTGGATTTAGGAAAACAATAGCTGTCACACCTCTATATATATCTTTTTGCGTTAATGACTTGCAATGTTTAGCATTTTCCTAAGTCAAAATTTCTACAAGCAATAGAAAGCTACATGCCTTTAGTTTTGAAACTAGCACAGACTCTCCACTTTACACGAGTTATGAAAAAAAAATTATATCCGACATTTGCCATTATCCAACACACTCACGCTTGTAACTTTACCAGAAATCTTCACTTCATTAAAGCCTCCAAATTCACTAGTGCCACTGAATAGTGTAGTTCTACCACATGTACATAGTTGGGTGTGTCAAAAATGTGTAAGTGAGAAATATCTTTTATCTATTTCAAAGCGCGATAAAAAAAATGTGTCGGTTCAGCATTTAATCTGGCAAGAAGAATGGTATAGCAAACAACGGAGGATTGCAAATTGACATTATGTCAGCCCTGCAATGGTTAAACGCTAAAGCCTAAGCAATATTTTGTCACACTACCTTTAAGAAAAAACCAAGGTGTCATTCATCATAAGCGAATTCAATAGTTACACATATTTTCTTTCCGCGTTAATGGTGCTTCACAAAGTGACAAGATCAGACGTGCCTTTATCTACGCCTAACTTCTAAGCGCTTTACACACACACACACACACACACACACACACACACACACACACACACACACACACACACACACACGCAAATGGTCACTCATGGAATCTGTGCCAGTGTTCTTGGAAAATACATTACGAATTGTTTGCATGTGGGGGCGTCCATAAATGACGACACAAACCTAGGGGAGAGGGGGTCACACATTTGAAATCAGAACACAATTCATAATTCAATCGTTACACATATTTTCTTTCCGCGTTAATGGTGCTTCACAAAGTGACAAGATCAGACGTGCTTTTATCTACGCCTAACTTCTAAGCGCTTTACACACACACACACACACACACACACACACACACACACACACACACACATACACGCGCGCGCAATTGGTCACTCATGGAATCTGTGCCAGTGTTCTTGGAAAATACATTACGAATTGTTTGCATGTGGGGGCGTCCATAAATGACGACACAAACCTAGGGGAGAGGGGGTCACACATTTGAAATCAGAACACAATTCATAATTCAATCGTTACACATATTTTCTTTCCGCGTTAATGGTGCTTCACAAAGTGACAAGATCAGACGTGCTTTTATCTACGCCTAACTGCTAAGCGCTTTATACACACACACACACACACACACACACACGCGCGCGCAATTGGTCACTCATGGAATCTGTGCCAGTGTTCTTGGATAATACATCACGGATTGTTTGCATGTGGGGCGTCCATAAATGACGTCACGCACCTAAGGGGAAGGGGGTCACACATTTGGAGTCAGAACACATTTAATAATTCCAGTTCAGTACCCACTAATGTAGTCCCGGTCTATTTTTAGATAATTTTTTTCCCTGTCTCCGTTTGGTGGTGATACAAGAGTTAGATTTTGGCATTCTTGGTAATGATTTAAAGGCAATTGTTTATTCTTTAGAATGTGAGCTTATGGTGTGGTTGTCTGTGTGTATTTCTGCGACAGTGCACATTGAGTAATAAAGCCAATGTGATGATCCAAAAGTGAAATATGTGTTCCGTTGCATGGTGTTTTGTTTACAATTCTGCCTCTCAAAAAAAATGCAGGTCAACCCTTGACAAGAACTTCAACGTAAAGTCATCTTTGAAGGTATTTTAGCTTAACATATGATTTGTATTGATTGTCACACAGTGGAAAGTTCAGTACTGAGAAACAAATGTAGAGACTATATAGTAAAATTAATTGTGTTCTATGGACAATTGTGATGTGTGAAAAGGGGTAGGGTGCGTTTAAGAAATGTGACATCACATAAAAATGCGCAACTTGAAATAAGTACCATATAATTTGTATTCTTATTTTGTATTGTTTACAATTTATTTAATGACGTATTAAGAAGCTTCACGCGTGTCGTGCATGAGCTCAAATTAAAATGGATGTGTCTTCGAACACCCCTACTACCCCCAATAGTGGCTTATTCCAAATAGCATTATTCCGTTTCCGGTCTGCTGGTGTCGACAAAGGGGGCAGGGACCAGTTTTGTAAGTACAAATTTAATGCCGCAATCAGTGACCTAGTACAAAAAGTCATAAAAAAAATCAAATGCACACGTGAGGTCAAGAAGGTCCATATTTTGAGATACCTATATTAAAACAAAGCATAAAAATATTATCCACTTGACCAGAGAAGTCAGTGGCAGTTCATGGCAGAAGAAGTTTATGCACACCAACCCAAAATTTATACCTGCAATTTTCATGTCCGAAGGGCCTTTTTGACACCATGTGATGCTCACAGTGCAAACACAAGCCCTTTTCCTGGATGACAATTCTGCAAAACGTGTGTGCTAAAGAGGCCGATGCAGTTGAAAATAGTTGTCATCCAAGCCGTTTTTTTTAGATATCCTACTTTCCCCAAACCCATGTGTTTACTGCTATGGGAAGCTAGCTCTTCTTCCTAGCCGACTATTGGTATTTCACTATCAACATATTGCAAAGTAAATATGGGAGGTGTACATGCCTGACATCAATTTCAAGAAAAACTCAAGCCCAAAACATCTAGTTCACAAATATATCCATATCTTTAATTAGTAAACAATAATAGCTGAAAAAGTCACACCATAGCTTTCAGGGGCCAATTTACGAAATTGTACCTTGCCATCAAAGCGAGGTTGAAATCTTGCTATATCCAAACTTGCTTCAGCAGTTTTACATTGACGACGAATATTTTGAAAGAATTGTATTCCAATTTCAGCATTCCAGTGCCTCATTTTTTATACACGTTTTCTCCTACAATATCAGAGTGCAGAGCTACACTAAATACAAAGTACAATGACAATAAAGTGATTTGAAACCTGTTAATTTTCAAATAGGAAATACGGCTTTTTCAGGGGGTGGGGCAAAGCTTTGTGATGTCATATTTGAAGGAGTCGGACTTTGTGAAGAGGGGAATGTCTAAAAAAAAAGGCCAAAATAGCATGACGTCTTATGGATGGCCCCTGTACTATTTTTTTTATGAACTTTACCTCGACGTCTTCAAAAAGGAAAGAGTAGTCGACCATGCCATTAGTTCACTCTTGTTATATATTACCGAAACAATTGAATTTTTCCTCTGGATGTGGTTTTCTAAGTGAGACACGACACACACACACACACACACACACACACACACACACACACACACACACACACACACACACACACAGTTTCGTATGAAATGATTTATATTGAAATCTTAATGGTCCCTGTATAGATACTTCTCCAAAATGCATGGTCACACGAACTATCACGTTTGTAATTTTTTACTTTAAAAATGGAAGAACGATTTTTCTTCCATAGAATAAGCACGCAGCTTTTTAACAGTGACGCCAGTATGTACTGTATGGTCCACCCTATTCCATATTCTCATTGTAGGTTTAGGGGAGAATAAAATATAACAATGTTTGACCTATTTTTTCTTACTTGCTTTAAGAGTGCGGTAGAACAAGACTTTTTTGGGGTGGTGATGTTTCCGTCCTTGGTTTATGGAAACTTTGCAACATTGCAACCTCATGACATCTCTTAAATTTGTGATATACAGCAAATGTTCATTGCAGTCAATCGACAGTAGATATAACATTACCCTATTAAGAAATTAATGAATGAAATTAATCTCTCTCTCTCTCTCTCTCTCTCTCTCTCTCTCTCTCTCTCTCTCTCTCTCTCTCTCTCTCTCTCTCTCTCTCTCTCTCATAACAGTGGTTAGAGCGTCTGCCTCGGATGCTAGAAGTTGCGGATTCGAACCACTGCTGAATCATACCAAAGACTTATAAAACTGGCACTAGCAGCTGCCTCGCTTGGTGCTCAGCATTAAAAGAGTGTTTGGATTGGTCTGCCTGGTGAAAGGATAATGTGACTGAGTAAGACATGATGCTACATGTCTGTAGCATGATGCCTCAGTGCTAGACATCAATTGCCACTCTGCATACATCGTAGCGTATAACTGAAAAATTGTTAAAGCTACGCAAAAACTCTAAATCACACACACACACGCACACACACACACGTCGCCAGACAATAGTACCGTCCCTTTACTCAATACAGTAACTTGTGTCGTGTGTGTGCGCGCGGACGTGCGTGTGTATGTGTGTGTGTGTGTGTGATAGAGAGTGATATTGGATGGTATAGATGGCATAATGTATTGAATGTTTGTTGGATTATGTATGTA